GGACCTTGCACTTCATTTTGTTAAGCTTCATGAGGTTTGCATTGTTTCACCTCTCAAGCCTGTCAAGGTCCCTCTGGATGGCTCATCCCTTCCCTCCAGCATATTGACTGCCCCACACAGCTTGGTGTCATCAGTGAACTTGCTGAGGGTGCACTCAATCCACTGTCCATGTCACCAACAAAGATGTTGAGCAGTATCAGCCCCAGCACTGACCCCTGAGGGACACCACTCCTCACTGGCCACTTGGCAAAGTTTGAATTAAATTGAAGCAAACTCAACTTGATCGGCCCTTGCATAAGGAATCAAAACACTCTGGATATGGGCTTTTTGACTTTCAAAGAAAGATAATCAAAGACAAAAGATTTCTGATTCTAGGCCAGGATATCTTGGCTCTTTTCCAATAGACAACTAAACTGGGAAGCCAGAGCACAAATCCATACTCTGCTTTGAAGAGAAAACAAAGGCTGAGCAAAGGTGACAGCACGGTTTCTGTCTGGCATGATGCCCATTTTTAGTGGCCTGCAGGACCACATCAGAATCTTTCTGTCTGCAGCCAAATTACCACTTGCAAAAGACTTTGAAGAAAGTGCCTCTGCATCCTGAAGTCCATAATCACTGAGATATTTTGAAGAAAGATATCTTCACACAGTAGAGAAATATCTAGGAGTTCGACACATAAAATATCTGCTCATGAAATCCTGTCAGCAGAGTACATTAGGCAATGTACATGAACACAGAATTTAACTGACTGGTGTATTTGGAATCCTTTCCCCAGAGTTAATTCCTTAACTGTTGGTACTGTTCATGTCCCACCCTTACCCTATCCAAGTTGTTAAGAGTTTATTCTGATCTTGTATAAGCAGATTGTATAGGCAGATAAACAGCCAACAGACACTATGTGATGATGAGGAGTGCAGTTCAAAACAATGTTATACTGCAGTACACATTTCAAGTTATATTAACCTATAAGAAGACATTAGTACATAAATCCAGAGAGCTTGTTCCTTGCATTAGAGTTTATAGGAACACACATACACACAGAAAAGGCCTTTTTAAAAGCTTCAATAAACCATCACAGTTTATGGCCTGGTGTGATGAGTGAGGCATAGAAGTCAGATAACATTTCAAAGCAGTGGTCTTTTTTTGGTGATGAAATAATCACATGCAGTACACATTACTTGTGAAGTTAGCCTTGACAGATAACTGCACACAGTAATATCATACATGATACTAAAAATTATTTATTTCTGGGAATTAATTTGCAGCACACATATCTGCTGATACAGCTATTTTTATGAGACAAGATGTATTCACTATTTGATCTTTTTACCTCCCTTTCTTAAGCATCTTTTCAAGTGTACTATCATTGCAACATGATCTAAAATCAGACAATGCTGAAAATGGGACTGAAATACTTAAATTCTCAATAAAATAATGAAAGTCTATCCACTGAACACTCTCATTCCTTGGTTCTGATTAGAGAACCAATATGCATAAGGAAAAAAGGTCACATAGACTGGACACTTCTGAATTTGTTGACAGAGGTCACAGATACAACAGTATAACAGAACAGAATTTCTTACCTTTATGATGATTTGCCCCAGATGCTAATTTCCCCCACAGCGTTACAACAAATATTATTATTAGCAGTTTTCCTTTTGTTGCTTTCTGTAAGTATCTCTTATTCATCCTGAAATAAAATACACAAAAATAAATATTTAAGACTTCTTTAAAAGACATTTTTTGTCTTAATTTAAGGATAAATGAATAAGGTTTTGTAAGTGTCTGTCTGACAACTCTTAAGTCTTAAACTCTGCTTAGCTCTAAATGAAGTATGTCATACAGAGCAGCAGCACAACCTTCCTCCCTGGTCTACCAGCATTCCTCCACCCTGGTCAGTACTAGGAGAATTCAACATCATCATCTTATCTTTCAAGGTCCAAGCAGTGTTCATAACCACACAGACTGCAAAGCTGGCAAGAAAGATGAATCCATGCAGCTATTGAGCAGGTTTTGATAAACAAGATCAGTTCCACTACTGTGTCTGGGGCCAGTCATGGTCAGTGTGGTTCTCTCTGACCATACCATGGGGGTTTTAGCTTTGGGGATTGCAACTCTTTTTGGATTGTGCCTGCAAGGCAAGAACAGATTTGCAAAGACTTTCAGCACATCAATCCTCTCATGGAGAAAACCTGTTAGGAAGACATGAGTGGTTTGGAAACATGGATTTGTGCAGGGCAGATTCACTAGTCTCTCTCCTGTCAGCCTTTGGGTAATGAAAAAATTTGATTTACTGCACAAAGGGAAATTGCACACAGCTCCCCTCATATTGCTCAGTGATGTTTTCACTGTGACAGCAAGTCACCGTGATGGTTCAAGCACAAGGTAACACATGACTTATTTCTCAGTAACCTCCACCAAAGACAAAAATACCCCTCCACCAGCCAAAAAGACAAGTTCAGGAATGTAGGCTCTAGTTCTTAAGGATTACAGCTGCACAGAAAGTGGCAAGAGGTATAATAATGAATCCTCTCACTTCATTCTCTGTATAAGAACCCTAGGGAGCTGACTAAGAAACAGCTCTGCATGATGGGCATGTTTCTGCTGATAGGTCAATAGGAAGATGATGCCTATTTCAAGCCACTTATACTAGAAAGGCTGCAAATTTGATGACTTGAACAAAATTGTTGCTGTTTTGTAACGCCCGGAACTAGGTTGCCTTCCTGAGCAGAAAAAAATGCATTGCTTCAGTATGGTTGCACATTTGCCTGCTATTAGGTTCATAAGAAATCCAAAGGAACTCTTTTGCTCTGTTCATATACAATGCTACCTTGAGTAACCACAACTCTGAAATGCAGAGTGCTCTAATACACAAAATTTTCTCTAATACTCCAAATAATTTTCCAGTCCTTCAAACAATTCCTTTCCTCTGAGCAAATTTCTTTCTAATAGAACACCACATGCTCATAAAGCAACACACCCCCCATAACTCCACTCCAAAGTTGTAACCAGACCACTTCCCCCAAAACTAACAATTTTGCTCTTTAGAATATTGATGACATCTTGTTAAGCAGTTCTATGTTTCCACACCAGGCTGCATGTAAGAAAACACTCAAATTAAGAACCCACTTAAGAGTGTATGAAACCCTTTCAAACCTGAATTCAGAGCAAACAGAACTCAGCATCCTTTCACAGAAGTCATACATATACAGTGTTTCCCAGAAGTTCAGATATCACATTTGTCAGACAAGGAGAGGAGTAAGCAAGTGCTCTATCTAGGGTGGTGCATGCAGCCCTGACTGATTAACCATCACAGTGGAGGTCACAGTGTGCTGTGAACCACACCAAGTTCTGCCTCCTTGCACTGATCCCAGTGCCTTTACAGTGTAAACTGCATATTCATCATCAGCTTCAGGTTTATGAAGCACTCAGAGCTAAAGGGAAATCCATTATTTGTCACTTTAAATACGAACAAAAAAATGAAATGGAATGCACATTCAGCATATGTTCTTTCCCAGCTAGCTCTGTGAAAAGAATATGAATTAACTCTTTCACTCTGGATTCTCATACTGCACCTGTTATGCTGCTGGTGCCAAGTCATCTCTCATTAAAATCAAATCTTTCTTCCTCACCTACATAACACTGCTCAAAACCCAGTGGGACTTGCACCATTAAAGTTGAATCTAATACAGTTCCTTCCTGTACTCTGCTGATGCCAGATCTACTCACTGTGCTGCAAGACTGGCAGCAAATGCACAGCAGAAAATGCAAACTCATAATGAAAAACAGGAGCACCAGGGGAAAGAGAGAAAATCAACCTATCTGCCTGTGAACAGCTGCCCTTTAGGATGGGAGGTAGTGAAGACACAAACCTCTGCACACAGCTCAGCACACCAAAGCCAGCACTGAGTGTAGAAGAGATTGTTTTCTGCATAGTAAGTGAAGGGTTTCAGCTCTGACACAGAAAATCTGGGCTCAATGCCATTGCCACTGTTTTCTGAAAAGTAAGGGAAGGGTTTCAGTTTTGACATAGAAAATCTGGGCTCAATGCCATTGCCAGGTTTTCCAATCATGAGAAAAACAATACACCATTTCTGTACCACAAGCCTATTACATTATTCTGCACTAGTTATTTGTGGTATTCACCTTTAGAAGGACAAAAATCTGAACTCTGTCTCCTAGTAGTGCCATAATAGGCATAATTAACAGAAATGTCATGCAAGTAGCAGTTTTAGCTTGGGAACTAATAGTTCAGAGGTCACCAGTAGAAGTACAAAAAAAATCTCAGCAGTTAAAACATTCTGTGGAAGTACAAAAAAAAATCTCAGCAGTTAAAACATTCATAATATACAGCAGCTGAAACAGAAAAAGTTGGAAGATGATGTTAACCTTCAAACTAATTATGTTTATAAACCTAGGCCTAGACCTGTGGTTGTGTGCATTGTCTGCTCACAATGGTCAATCCGAGGGCAGATGAACAGCTGCCTCAGCACAAACAAGTTAAGAAACACTCTGCTCCTAGCAGTCCTGCTACACACAGGACACACACTGTAGCAATACAACTCTAGAAAAAAAGAAATGAAGTGTTTGTAGTCCAAGAAGTTGAGCGGTTGGGATAGATGCACTTCATCAGCAAAACAGGCCAATAGCTAGATAAGAAGAGGCCATGAGATGTGCTCAGTATCTGAGTGGATGCATTATCATCTGGGCTCAGAAACTCTGATGATGGTTAATTTTTGTGGATTTGCAAACCAGTCCATGATATAGCACTGAGGAGATGCTGAACTAGATAGCATTTGAGCTCAGCTCTGAAACATAACTATTCACCTCTTGCAACCCTGATCCATGTCAAGTAAGTATATCTGGGAAATAAAATTGAGTCCATTATGGTACTGTTATTCCACTAACACAACCAGCTGTGTTAAATAGAACAAATGAGCTCTGAAATGAGGTCTACTTTGACTAGAGGTGATGCAGAGTGCCACAGACAAACTATAGCTATTAACCTGAATGGTTTTCTCTTTGAAACATTTTCCTCTTCTATTTATCTTCCTTTCTGCAGAACCTCTCCCTCACTGTGATTCATACAGCCTTCAATAATGCCACATAAACCCAATCTGGCCAAAACAGAGAATAGCCATGCTATAGGAAATGCCTACATTTGAAAATCAATTTTACACACAAATACAAACTCTATGCATAATGAAAATTCCTTCAGTTCCTAATGCAAACATATTAGAAATAAACCCAAGGAATTCTCATCATTTTCACAAAAAAAAAAAAAAAGAGGACATGAAAGGCTGCCACGTTTGAGTTCATTTTTCAATATGCTTTGAGGCAAGAAAAAAGCAAGACAGATGCTTTTGTGGTTCAGGGACATATTCAAAATATAACAAAAAGATGTCACCCACATAATTCAAACAGGCAGTGGTTGAGTGTGAGGTGGCTCTGCTGTGCCCAGCTCTCCACTAGCACCATAACACACATTCATAGGATTTGTTATTTTTGCTCCCAAAGATTCCTTTTCCCTGAAGCACACTCCATGAGACCATCACCAGTCTGGTATCATGGACTGCTTTGGTGATTAGTGACAAAAACTGCAGGAGATTTTTCTCAGGGTGAAACCACATCTGATGCTCAGAGAAGCTTCACAAACTACCATGTCAGCAGAAATCCATCTCCCTGGTCTCTGTGGCTCAGGAGCAGCAAACTGTGAATACACTAATAGGCTGCACAGGCTCTCCTTGCCACTGCTCCACCTCACTTTCAGCCCTCTCAACAGCAGATGTCCAACCATTCAGCTGCACTGAAAATGTCACACACAGATGTGTATTTTCAATTCACTGCAGCAATGTAGTATCCATAAGCTTTTGAGTTTCTACATTATTCCTTCTTTGCTTCTCGGCTTGACATCAGTCACCTCTCCAAAAGTTTAGAAATAGAGGAGAATCACATGGGAATTACTTTACATTGTAAGAACAGTGCTAAATTGCATTGCTTTCTGATTTTAAGTGAAGTGCAAACTTTATTGTTGTGGAGGGAAAAAAGAAAGTAAGGATAGAATAGCTTTCATTCTTCCCTTGAGAGCTTATTCACAAATAAAATTCTCATCTGTTTCCTAGGAGTAACAGCATTTTTCTCTGTTGCTCCTTATCTTTCTTTTCTTTACAAACATCAGCCTCTGTGAAGCTGTTCAAAATTCATTCGTTCCTGCTTTACATATGTGGAAACTTTCACTGTCAGTAAGATCCATTTGCCCTCTGCAAACACGTACACCTTGTGAATAAAAGTGTTCATGAAGAGGCACATAAGCCTATTTCTCTACTGAATCATGACAAAGTGCTTAAGAGACAAAAACCTGTTAGAAAATTAGTCCCACGTTCTCTTACTTTTCTTTTTACAACAACTATTTTTTTGCTACTTCAGAGAAAGCCCAAATGAGAAGCAGAAATCTCTTGAGACCCCAAAGTCTCTTGTACAGAAATAATGCAGCCATTTAAATTATGTTCTGTACTGTATTGAATCTTACACTATTTATTAATTGTGTTAGTTTCCATATCCCATGCAATGCAGGTATTTGCAGTTTTATTTAGCCTTCCCTGTGATAGCTAAAGCAGATTTTAAAATGCCCCTCCGGTGGATAAGGTTACTCTGTAAAAGTAACACCAATGTGACCCCTGAGCATTTGT